CGCCTCTGCTTCGGGCACGCGATCGGCTCGACGAGCGCTTCCCTTTCAAGCTCAGGGGCGCCCGAGGGCTCACAGGCCTGCTTCCGCCGCCGGGACCCGCCGGCCTCATTGCTGGGCCCCCAGGGTAAGTCCAGCGCGAGGGACCGTCCCAAACGGTCTCCAACCTGGCCGCCTCGGCCACCCAGGCAGAGACAGGCCCAGACATGTTTTGTCGCAGGCCGCCACTCTGACGCTGGGCAGGCCGCAGAGCTCGCCGGGGCCCGCGCGAAATGGCACGTCGCGGCGCCCACCCACCCTCGGCGCCAGGCTGCCACCGCGGCGCAGATGGGCTCCGAGGGCGCCTCGAAGACGGGGTCGACGCGGCGGCGGGGGGCATGCAGCGACCGAAGAGCACGCGACGAGGGGCTCGTCGGCCCTTCATTGCGCATCACCTGCCTCGGCCGATGGATCCCCATCCCCTCGGCCCCCGCGACGCCCGCGCCTGAATTGGCGATGGATTCGACGGTGGCCTTCGCCACGCGAAAGACCAATATTCGCCTCCCGTGCTCGCCTAAAGCCTTGAAGCGCCGCGCCCTGAGCGCCGCGGCCTGAAATCCGTCACGCTTGGCTCGCCCCCCGAGCCCCCTGCGCGGCGCGAAGTCCACCCCCTAATTTTAGGTCGGGCACGTCCCCCATGCACGGGGACGTTGGACGAAAAACGAAAAATACAAACCAAAAAAATATACAAAAACAATCAAAACATATTTAAACCTCTGTCACCCTGCTACGTTTGACTACTTTTGAATATTCCTCATGTAGAGGGACTGGCCCGACTGAGCCTAAGTCAGTTCGGCGCGAGACATCTGACCTCCGAGGCAAGCGCAGGAAACCTGCAAACTGGCTCGCGGCCTGCGAGCGTTGCCCCCCAAAAACGTTTTCTCGGCGGCAACAAAGAGATCGCACTTCTGGAGATCCTGCCTTAAGCCGCGCCCGCAGCGGCGACTTGTTTCAAGGCGCGATCACCTTTGCCAGAGCGCTGAATGCCGACGCCACTGGCAACGACGGGCAGGGCACGTCGGCGCGCTTCGCTGCACCGAGGGGCCCCTGCAGGGCCGGCCATGGACATGCGGCGGCAAGCGAGCTCGAACGCCTTCTGGACTTGGCGGCGCGCACAAGGGGGTAGGGGGAGGGGGGAAGGCTTCTTAGAAGGAGGCTGCTTCTAAGAAGGCGCCGGCCTTACATCTACAAAGAAGGCCCGCGCCTTCTAAGAAGCAGGGGTGCTTCTAAGAAGCCTTCCCCCCTCCCCCTACCCCCTTCTGCGCGTGGATCGCCCCAGAAGCCGCCCCCCCCTCCTGCGAGCCCGCTCCGCCCTTGCCGACTGCCCCCGCGCGCGCTCGTCCGAGGCCTGTTGCCTCTGCTGCCCCGCGCGACGTCTCTCAGACTTCTCGCCTCGCTGGCCGCGCAGCTCTTTGAAGGGGCCCACAAACACACAAATAAATACTCACAGATACCCGGATTCCCCCCATGTGTTCCCATATGTTCTGGGTTTCTGTCTTCCCCCCCACTTCCCATACTTTCCCGTATGTTCTGGGAAATCGAGATTCATCGTGTGTGTGTGTGTGTCTTTCCCTCCTGACTCTTGCCCCCCGGGCCTGCGCGGGGTCTCTGGCCGGGCAGCGCGGGCGAGCCATCGGCCTCGTGCCCCCCGCCCTGCTGGCGGTGAAAGAACACTGTGGCCCAGTGCTGGGGCCGCTCCGCGCGCGCCTCGGCGCGGGGGATCAGCCCCGGCAGAGCCTCGAGGCCCTCGGGCCCCGGGAGCACAACGCGCCGAGGGCCCACAACTTCGCACCCCTGGCTCGCGGTTGGCTCGACGGACTTGCGCACGCGCTGCAACTGCTGAACAGTTGACCTCTAGGGCGGGTCGAGGTGGGAGAAATCGGGCCACTCAAGCGCGGAGCGGGCCTCCGACGCGCACCACCAGGCCTCCCAGCCCCCGCGGAACTGCTCGATCTGCTCGAACGTGCCGACGGCACGTGACACTGAATGGTGCCATCTGGGATCACCCTGATGGCGCGCATGCAAAGGAAAAATGCACTGGCGCCTTGCTCGTCCATGTGCCTTTCCAGTCTAGCCTGCCCCACCCCCGATCCCTAATCCGCTGGCTACCCGGAGCGCGCATCCCAGCCCAGCCTGCAGCTTTAAGCACCATAACCTCTGGCCGAGTGCGGCTCGGGCGCGGCGCAAGCGGACAGCGGCGCGGGAGCGCGACGGAACGCGCGAGCTTCTGGAGGCGGCGACGGCGACGGCAATCTGTCCAGCCACCCCTTGCATGGATTCTGCCAGTCAAGGCCTGCGCAGCGCTTTTCCACCGCATGGCCGCGGCGCTGGGCACCGGAAAAAAACCGAGAGCGCTCGCGCAGGGCGTGTGGCGCAAATGCCTGGGAGGAGCCCCTCTCTGCCCTGGAACGCATGCACATCCTCTGGTGGGACATCGAAAAGGCGTGTCAATTTCTGCTCGGCTGCCCGTATAAAAAGACTGCAGTTTCCATGGACGGCGTCGGCATCGCTGATGGCACCGACAAGCCCATCCCAGGCAGACTCCTGGAATTCTCGCGCACAACTAATCAGAATCTGAGCTGGTATTTTTGGCGCGGCTGCACGGCGGTTCGCACATCGGGCGTTCGCCGTGGCAGACGCAAACGCAAAATCGCACTGCCCTGTGTGGGTAGATGCCAATGTCTTCAAAACTCTCAACTGACATCATGCCTTCGTTAAGACACGGGCTGACAACGAAAGAGTGAATCACGCGTTCTGACGGGCGAGCCGTGCCCTGGGAAAGTGAAAGCACGACGCCCCTTATCCCATCTGGCGAATATGACAGCATGAGCTGATCTGGCGTCACTTGCCAGCCTGCACTCAAAATGATTATCCCGGCAAAGCAACCTAACAGCCATGTGTAGGAGCATCTCTGGGTCGAACAGCATCTCGACGAAAAGGCAGCTCTCCCCCCCCCTCCTCCTCCTCCTCCTCGTCCTCCTCCTCCTCCTCCTCCTCCTCCTCCTCCTCCTCCTCCTCCTCCTCCTCCTCCTCCTCCTCCTCCTCCTCCTCCTCCTCCTCCTGGTCGTCCTCCTCCTCCTGGTCGTCCTCCTCCTCCTGCTCGTCCTCCTCCTCCTCCTCCTGCTCGTCCTTCTTCTCCTGCTCCTCCTGCTCCTCGTCCTGCTCCTGCTCGTCCTCGTCCTCCTGGTCTTGCTCGTCTTCCTCCTCGTCGTGCTCTTGCCCCTGCTGAAAATGTGGCCCAGGAATGGGAGTTCTGGGAAGTCGAAGAGCACGAAATTGCCTACAGTTGGCTACGGGCATTCAAAATGTGGCCCGGGAATGGAGTTCTGGGAACTCGAAGAGCACGAAGTGGCCTACAGTTGGCTCCGGGCATTCAAAATGTGGCCCGGGAATGGAGTTCTGGGAACTCGAAGAGCACGAAGTGGCCTACAGTTGGCTCCGGGCATTCAAAATGTGGCCCGGGAATGGAGTTCTGGGAACTCGAAGAGCACGAAGTGGCCTACAGTTGGCTCCGGGCATTCAAAATGTGGCCCGGGAATGGAGTTCTGGGAAGTCGAAGAGCACGAAGTGGCCTACAGTTGGCTCCGGGCATTCAGAATGTGGCCCGGGAATGGAGTTCTGGGAGGTCGAAGAGCACGAAGTGTGTGACTGTTGGCTTAAAACAACTTCTGCGGCACCCTGTCCGGCACCCGCCCAGACCCCCCTGTGGAGTCATCTGCTGCTCTCTTTTAAGACTATTATCCCAGCAAAGCAACCTAACAGCCATGTGTAGGAGCATCTCTGGGTCGAACAGCATCTCGACGAAAAGGCAGCTCTCCCCCCCCCTCCTCCTCCTCCTCCTCGTCCTCCTCCTCCTCCTCCTCCTCCTCCTCCTCCTCCTCCTCCTCCTCCTCCTGGTAGTCCTCTCCCTCCCCTCCTCCTCCTCCTCCTCCTCCTGGTCGTCCTCCTCCTCCTGGTCGTCCTCCTCCTCCTGCTCGTCCTCCTCCTCCTCCTGCTCGTCCTTCTTCTCCTGCTCCTCCTGCTCCTCGTCCTGCTCCTGCTCGTCCTCGTCCTCCTGGTCTTGCTCGTCCTCCTCCTCGTCGTGCTCTTGCCCCTGCTGAAAATGTGGCCCAGGAATGGGAGTTCTGGGAAGTCGAAGAGCACGAAGTTGCCTACAGTTGGCTACGGGCATTCAAAATGTGGCCCGGGAATGGAGTTCTGGGAACTCGAAGAGCACGAAGTGGCCTACAGTTGGCTCCGGGCATTCAAAATGTGGCCCGGGAATGGAGTTCTGGGAACTCGAAGAGCACGAAGTGGCCTACAGTTGGCTCCGGGCATTCAAAATGTGGCCCGGGAATGGAGTTCTGGGGACTCGAAGACCACGAAGTGGCCTACAGTTGGCTCCGGGCATTCAAAATGTGGCCCGGGAATGGAGTTCTGGGAAGTCGAAGAGCACGAAGTGGCCTACAGTTGGCTCCGGGCATTCAGAATGTGGCCCGGGAATGGAGTTCTGGGAGGTCGAAGAGCACGAAGTGTGTGACTGTTGGCTTAAAACGACATCTGCGGCACCCTGTCCGGCACCCGCCCAGACCCCCCTGGGGAGTCATCTGCTGCTCTCTTTTAAGATTATTAGAAACCTATCAGTCTTCGCTGTTAGGTAATTAGAAACCTATCAGTCTTCGCTGTTAGGTAATAAGGGGCCCTGACTTCTTGACCTCCCGAGCTGCATCACACAAGAACATCCAACTTCGCTCGCTTAAACCTTCTGAACCGTGGAGGTACAAAAATTCCACCCTTCGGCTCGTAACCGTAGTCCAACACGCAAGAGCTACATGCACCAAGCGACTGCTGTGCACTGCAAACTATGCTGGGTCGCGATCGTAACTCCAGCGGTGAGACCTGCAAGGGAAGTGCTGCTTCCGCCTGGCTTCCTAGGCGTCGCTTCGACGCAGGTTATCCATCCACCCCTTCTCATATGCTGCTCA